GTAATGCACATGGAGCGAACTCGGTCCTGGTGTAAACATAACTCCTGAAATAAAACGAGTTTGTGGTAGTGCAGTTAGAAAAAAATCCAAGAGAGAAGAAAACAAAACAAAAAGCAATTCACAGTAACACTGTAGAATGCGAGGATATGAGGACGGATACGAATAAGATTCTTTCGTTTTGCCACTTGTTTTACTAGCTTCGTCTTCGTTGCAACCGTTATTCAGGTTTCCCGTATTGTTTCTCTGACTTTGTTCCACTTAAGCGTTGCATAACGCCCCCAAAATGGCCGACAGCTCACTTTCTTTCAATGTTACCTCGTCGCATAGGGCTAAGTTAAGGGAAGATCCCGCCACTGCTAGCGCAAAGGCAATAGGTATGAAACAAAAATATATCTCTAGCTTGGGGAGATGGTGGGTCGTGAAAGTTGACTTTTGTTCCCGAGTGCAGATAAAAGGTTTCGGATATGATGTTTCAGAGATAATGTTTCAGATAGGGCGAGCAAATTTATGTAAGAGCGCAAAGGATAAAAAAAGACAACAANGTAATGCACATGGAGCGAACTCGGTCCTGGTGTAAACATAACTCCTGAAATAAAACGAGTTTGTGGTAGTACAGTTAGAAAAAAATCCAAGAGAAAAGAAAACAAAACAAAAAGCAATTCACAGTAACACTGTAGGATGCGAGAATATGAGGATACGAATAAGATTCTCTCGTTTTGCCACTTGTTTTACTAGCTTCGTCTTCGTTGCAACCGCTATTCAGGTTTCCCGTATTGTTTCTCTGACTTTGTTCCACTTAAGCCTTGCATAACGCCCCCCAAATGGCAGATAGCTCTCTTTCAATGTTACCTCATCGCATAGGGCTAAGTTGAGGGAAGAGCCCGCCACTGCTAGCGCAAAGGCAATAGGTATGAAACAAAAATATATCCTGAGCTTGGGGAGGTGGTGGGTCGTAAAAGTTGACTTTTGTTCCCGAGTGCAGATAAAAGGTTTCGGATATGATGTTTCAGAGATAATGTTTCAGATAGGGCGAGCAAATTTATGTAAGAGCGCAAAGGATAAAAAAAGACAACAAGCATCCGATCACGGAAGATTCTGACTAGACGACATAAATTTAGGTCATGAGCTCATTAATTATAATTAAAGCGTACCATTTCTACTTTACAACTCTCGGTGTTCAGCACATAGATCGTGCCACTTTTGCTTCCAGCCCAGACCTACAGCAACCAGAAATGTAAATAATGATCATAAGATTTAAATAACGTTAAAAT